TTTTTCATTATTTTTTGTTAGATTAACACAAAAACACAACAACTTTTGCATTTATTATGCCAACATAATGACAACAATTTCGGCTGGAATTTCGGTTGGCAACGCGCAGCTCATGGGTAAAGGGCAACGGTTGCAGTGGCAGTGCCTGAGAGAAGCAGTGGCAGCAGCAACACCAGCAGCGACGGCGCCAGCACGATGCGAATGGACGAGCAAAGCAGAGAGAAAAACATACTGGCTGGGGGGTAGCAGACACAGCAGCGAGAGCATTGAGTAAAATTAACATACATATAAATGAGCGGCAGCTGTGAGGACACACTCACGTGTATTGTGTCTGCGTTTGTGTGCGTGCGGCCAATTCGAAACGCCACGAGAATGAAATGCAGCGAAACGAATGGCAGCCCAAAGTGAACACACAAAATACAATCAGGCGCTTCAAAATAAACAAAATATATGAACAGGATAATCACATGAAGTGTATCTGTGTGAGTGCATCTGTGTGTTCCAATGCCAAAACGTGCAGACGTTGCTCTATTTGGTTTTCTCTTTTGCTCTCTCTTTCTGCCAACGAAGTTGGAGCGGCTTTGGCAGGCAAGAGGTGTGCGCGCCAGGCGAAAAATCAATGAAAAATATGTGAAAAATTTACCGAAATTTTCTATATATTGTGCATATGCTGTTTTGTTGTGTCTTTGTGGTCATCATTTACCCAATTTAACAATTATTTCAAACTTTATTTTGTGAATATTTTCTATTTTTAATGCCAATTGATGCTTTATTATTGTTATTTATGAACACACTCGCATAATCAAAATCACACACACACACATATACAAGTAGAAGCAAGCACCCTCACTTTTATCGTTGAACAATGACACATTTTATTCAATGGGCAAACCACAATGCGACGAAATTTTACCCAAAGTATTGTTGTTAAACATTTAACAACTTTCGGCAATTGATTTGTTGTTGTCTGTCTTCGAGGACGAGCCCACGGAGAGAGACACGCATCATAAAAACACACGCGACTAACGGGTCCAATTCGGCCGGAGTTCCACTTGCGATTGAGAAAAGCGTCTGCGGCTTCTGCCCAGCAAGCGTGCGCTGTTCCAATGCCAATTCGTTGCGACTTCGCTCTCTTTCACTCTCTCTCACACATTCTCTCACTTTCTCTCTGGCGGATGAAAGGTGAGGGTGCACATGGCAGCTGTGGTAAGTTTTGGGTTGGCATGGAAATTCATGCAATATTTTGGTACAATTGTATCAATACACTTTTTTAAAGTTCTCCATATGCGCGATTTTCAAAGGCCTTAACTAAGTAGACAAAATATACATATGTTATCATAAGCACAACTATCATAAGTAGCTGGACACTTTCAGGACTAGTTCAGCAAGATGTGTTAACTGCTGTTGTACGAACTGGCATTAAACTCAACATTAAGAATAGCTTTAAATTTTGTTATCAGTGCAATCTTACAATATTACAGATTTTAACTATGCATTGAAAGGCATTTAAAAATGTATTAAATCCGTAAAATAAATAATTTAATTTTACAATTTTTACCAAGCCGCCAACTTTGCAAACACCTGGAAACTCTACGCATATTTTTTACTCTCACGCGCGCCCATTCCTAGCCTGCGCTCAATAAATGCGCTCTCTGTTTTTGCCGGCGGTACACACGTACATATGTATTGGTTTATTTATAATTAACACATAAGCATGTATGCAAGTTAAGCAAAAGTTTTCATCGTTGGAATAAATTAATTCGTTTTAGTCACTGTTACTACCGCATAATGTATAAGCCCGTTTATTTTTCAAAGCTGCCAGCGACCCAGTAAGTGTACAAATGTTGCAGCACAAACACACACGCAAGAAAACAGAATTGGCAGTGAAATGTGCAGCTTTTCAACCGAGTTTTAACCTTTACAATTATTTATTTATTATGTTTAGACGCTTTTTCTGTGGAAACTCTCTTGTTTTATTTGAGTAAAGGGGCACTTTGGAATGTTTCCAAATATCACAACAACCCGTAGCAAGAACGACGTACCACTACTAGTGTTGGCGAACAACACAGCACCGGGTTGCCGTATCTGCAAAACGAAAAAAACACGGGCGCCATCTACTGCTCATTACACAATTCTATTTCGTTTAAAATGTTGCAAATTATTAATCAACAAATTTAAATTGCTTATTTATACAGTTTAATGGTCTCTGTCAATGAAGGGACTTTTGCCAATTTTCTCCAAACTCAAACACTTTACAAATAAGCGATCCTCATCTCCTCTCATTCTTTATGATGTAAAGCTCATTTTTTCGTATAAAGATCATTTTTATCTAACTCGTCTGCGGATGATCTGAACTGTTTCTAGTTATTACCATTGCAACCTATGTTTACAGTTGAAGACCCTGCAGTTCTTTTTGATCCCGAATTGAATTTTGAATCTTCACAATCATTATGACAGAACGATTGATTGAATAAATTTCAAGGTTATTAGCATAAAATTTAATAATTGTCCTGCCTGGGATAGATCTTAAATAAAGACTAAAGAACCCAAACAAATCTTCACATCTCCAATATCAACGAAGCTGAGGGTGTTCTTGGTTTTATTAAACGTTGGTCCCAAGAATTCGATGACCCCTGTACGTCTACTTTATGCTAGCATGCTGCTCATGTATTTGGTGACTTCAATATAATATGCATCTGGACCGCATAGTGAAGGATAGGATATTTCGGAAGTAATAGGGTGTTTAGTTCGAAAGAATCTCCGACGCCATAAAGATATATGTACATTATAAATCAGCATGATGAGACGAATCGATATAGCCATGTCCGTCTGTTTGGATGAGCTCCTGGATTTCGTCTACTGTTGAGCCTACATTCACAAAACTTGGTATGTAGACTTTCCCAATATCCATGCAACTCGAGTTTATTTATTTATTTCTCTATTCTTCTAAGATCTATGGTTCGTTCTACACTTTTCTTAAAAAACGTCCGCAAAATAGATTAAGGTTCGCAATCGCTTTTGAATCGCTTCTTCAAAGCTTAGGATTATTGACTTGAGGAGGTTTTTCCAACACATTCGAATTTTTTCTTGTAGACATGTCTTTTGTGGGAGTGGGAAAGTGCAGGGTATTTAAGAGTTGAGCCTAATTGACTCCAGCACTCCTTTCTTGTTTTCGTTAATGTCTAGATATTGCATCTTATTCCTTTCAATTCCACTTCAACTTGGCATATATGGGAATATATAACACTTGCGTCATGTCCCTGCTTCGCACGGGTATTTTAAAATGTTTTAAAAGTTATACATTTTAATAACACACACACACATACACCCTTCTTTTTGCTAAAAAGAGAACAAATAAAAAAATAGTTTGGATAGTATTATTTAAAGGATTATTGTTCTTTTCTTAGATTTTCTGTTATTCTTTATTGATGTTGTATTTTATGGCAGGAAAATAAATTGATTTTCAGAAGCTCCGACCCGTAATAGGTCAACATATTGTTGGCCATAAGTAAAGCATTCCTTCCGTAGGTCGATTCCTACTAATTCGAAGGTCTGGCCTTGGGACTTGTTAATACTTAGTTAACGGGAAAGATGTTTTTACCGGAAATTAAAGCCATATAAATGATAAAATGAGATCATAATTGCTGGGCTGTTGATAATGGTTGCTAGACTTAAATTGTCCTGCAATTCCTCAATAAGCAGCCTCGTCCCATTGCACATGTTCGCAGGGTTTAAATTTCTCAAAAGCATGAGTGGAATTCCGATTTTAGGCTTCAATTCATGTGGCGGCTGTCCAGAGGGGTTTACTGATTATTGTATACTATATTATTCTACATTATTCGGTGTCGATGGATTTGCAATTTTTCATTTGGATGGGGACTGAATTTGAATAATATTGCCTTAATATTCAAAGTGGCATAATGTTTCTAATGTTTAATATTCTGAACTAACAGCCTAACCGGGGATAGTCAAGCTTCAGTGAAAGAATCCTTTAAATGGGTCGGAGCCTTTTCAATTCAAATAAACAAACAATGAAATCTTTCCTCTTTATAATATTAGTATACATATAGATATAGATAAATGTTACATGTATCGTTTGTAACTCAAATTAATATCAACTTTATTAAGCAAGAAGTGAACTCTCTTTAACAATAAATATATTCTCTGTATTTACAACTTGGAGTATTTTGCTGCGCGAGAAAATGCAGGCAATATACAAGGTGCTTTCCAAAGTAAACAGGACTTATTGAATCTAGCGCCCCCTGGTGGTGCTATCTATATGTCGACTGGTGCGTTAGAATCTGCTATTTTTATCGATTGTCCAGTGAGAATTTCATGACATTTCATCGATTGGAAGTGAAGTTATTGCGTTTAAAGTGTCAGTATGTTTCTGTTATCGGTGCGAAAATGAGCTTCGAACAAAGAGCCAGCATTAAATTTTGTTTTTAAAAATTGGTAAAACTTTTACCAAAACGTTTCAATTAATGGAACAAGTTTATGGCGATGATTGCCTATCCCGTAGCAGAGTGCACGAGTGGTTTCAACGTTTTCAAAGTGGTCGTGAGGACATAAATGACGATCAACATGTGGGCCAATCAAAATTCGTGATCACCGAAAATTCCATCGAAACTGTGCGTGAATTCATCAAAAATCAGCCGAAATCATCATTGAAATTGATGGAAATAGATTTGAACATCTCCAAAACATCGATTTATCGCATTTTGACCGAACATTTGGGCTTACGAAAGGTGTGTGGACTGGTTGTTCCGCACAAATTGACTGACGTCCAAAAATTGCTCAGAATCGATCGACGCTTGTAAGCGATTATTTGACTAAAAATCACATTTTAACCATTAACCACTCTCCGTATTCACCTGATATGGCACCGTGCGACTTCTACCTTTTCGGAAAAATGCATTTGCCCATGAAAGGAAAGCGTTATGCAGCTGTATTGAATCAGAAGGAGACTATTTTGAATAAAATAAATTGATTTTGCCGGAAAAAACCATTTGTTGTTTTTTTTTTAAGTCCTGTTTACTTTGGAACCCACCTTGTAGATATGTAGATAGATGGATAGATATAGTATATTGAACAAATCCCCCTTGGTTATAGATTTATGTGCATGCAGTATGTGTATCGCTAAGGTAAGTAATGTTGTGGACTAATCCATCTGCTTGCCCTCCTCGCGGTTTCGCTTGAAGGATACGGAGTGTATGAGCAAGGGCGGCAGGTTTCCGCGTAGCATTTGCAACCGCTTGCTCTTCTCCTTCTCGGGTCGACGCAGCTCGTCCTTGGAGGACGAAGAGGATGCATTCGATGTCATTATCGAGGCCATCGATGCAGAGCCGGGCAGCACTTCCGTGCTCTGCGTCAGGAGCATGGCCGAGCGCCTGAAATAGCGTGGCATCGAGTAGTCGTCCTGCGTGGCGCGCGCCGCATTCGCCGTCTGTATCGAGTAGAGGCTCTGCGAGACCCGGTACTTTTCGATGGTGGGCGTGTCCTCGTAGTTCTTGGGCAGGTTGCTAAACGAAATCGAGGGCACCTCCGGAGTCATGCTGATCTGGCTGCCGGTCCCGGTGATGGCAAAGATGTCCGTCTCACTCGCCGCTGGCCGGACATTGAAGTGCGGAACGCTCTTGGCCGATCGCAAGGTCCGTTTGGGCGTTGCAGTCACGCTGCCGGGGGCTGGCAGCAGATGGTGGCGTCTGTCGATGAGGCGCGGCCGCAAGATCACCTCCTCGGTGTCATCCTTCTCGTCCTCCTTCTCCTCCTCGGCAATGACTTCAAACTTTTTCGGTGACAGCGTCTGACTGCCCTCCGGCGAGGAGTCCGGTGCGAGGGTGAAGGTTATTCGCTTCTCGGGGACAACTACGTCGCCGGTCGCGTTCGCTTTTGTCGAGTCCGTGGCATCAGCTTGCAGACCAGCTGCGATTGTAAGAAATAGAATTTTTATTGGTTTTGTTCGAAAAACATGATATTCTTAAACTACAGCTAAATGGTCGATTTGTTGCCTAATCCATAAAAAAAAAGTACTATGTTCTAATTCTAAATCTTTCTTGATACATAAAAATGTGTAACTAAACATTTAACCCCAAGAATGACTTAGTTTCCCAAAGGGGGTTTGAGTCGGTGTTCCATTATTATTTGTGAATTCGGATTGTGGTTTACGAGTATAATAAGAATCGTGTGTGAATTTCAATTCGTTATTCATCATTGCACAAATAATATCATTTTAAATATATGAAATGAGTGACTCGGTAAATGGAAACAAGAAAGCCCAATGACTGCGATAATATAGTATGCGAAAGATCCAAGCTTGAAGGTAAAGTCGGAAGAGAGATTCAAACCCCGAACCAGGGAATCTTAACTGGAAAAACCCAAAACTCAGTGGTAGTCTCATAGATAGTCTCTCGTAAAAAAGGAGAGACATGGAACGGGAATACCTCTTGATAAGGACGGAATCGATATGCCTCTAGTTTCTTGCACGCTTCTGATCCAACAGTGCTGGGAAATGTGTGTTCGAGCAAAGCTAAGATGACTAACTCGGGACCATCCCAGGACAAGTACAACACTCTCAAAACTGAAGATCTAAATTTTCAGGAAGCACTGTCCGATAAGTAGACACATAGCTTAACATATTATCTAAAGATTTCTACCGTAGCTATTGGGCGGACAAAGAGGAGAAGAGGGTAGAACACTTAGCACCCATTGCTCTGAGCAACCATTTCTAAATAATCCCACAGTTGTACCTAAAAATTGACATTATGTGGTTAACACTAGTTCAGGTTATGTGGTTAACACTAGTTCGCTCTAGCCATTTCAGCCGAACCTCATCTATTATGTGGTCTTAAGAATTGAACAAGAATCTACATTGGAATTTTTCCTTTTGGTCTCAAAAAAAATTTGTTCTTGTTTAAATTTCCGCTTTCTTTAAGGTCTAAACATTTTCAAAATTAACAAAAAGTTACTCCAAATGTTGAATACTTATAATCAACATTAAAAAATGCTAATGCGGCTTTATATATAATCCATATATCTTTATATCTACTTGTGTTTATAATCTAATTATGAGCGTATTTATTTATGAACGTATTTTTGTAGCAAACCCTACAAGGTAAAAGTATTTTTCCAAGTCTCTCATTAACTGGAATGGTCATCCCAAGCTACTAGCTTATGCGAATCCTTCTTCAAGTTTTTCTATCGTGTAAAAACGAGGTTTTCAACATGTTAAAAGAGAAAAGGTAGCAAATTTTTAATCGTGTTAGACCGAGTTCGTATTAAAAGAGGTTGTGTTAAAGGGCCTAACATGTGGTCATTACGATTACACCATGGTTTGGCAATTCAGAATAGTTGGAGAACGAGGGGAGCTTTGAATGAAGAAAGATTTACTGAGCCTCATCTATTATGTGGTCTTACGGATTGAGCAAGAAGCTAGATTCGAAGTTTTACTTTAGTACTCAAAATTTGAGGCTCACAGCCCTATACTTGAAGTCCCAGCATCCTTTCCAACGAAGCCTCTCACATGTTCTGAGTAATTGTTTACTTTTTTAGGCCATAGAATTTTTGGTTACCTTATATGGGACCCAAAGCTTCCTTGTTTTCTACTGCTTTTGTAATAATGGCGCACATTAATCTAAAGGGCATAACCTGTTCATTATCAATTCAGAATAGTTGGAGAACGAGGCGAGTGTTGAATGAAGAAAGAATTACCGAGAATAGCTAGAAGAAGTGTATTCAAATTATCAGCAGGATGTCTGTTGTTCGATAAGTAGTTTGTATTGTCAAGATCACATTTTTGTACCAGAAGTGTCTGTTCATTACAATATAGTATTATTTATGTAAAGTGTATTTTTGAAGATTTTAAATTGCTGTCAGTTTCCCTTTTTCTGCTCATTTTTGCACTCAGCATGTGAGCAATGTGAGCAAATGAGCAGATTTGATGAGCAATTTTGCGAACCCTGCTGTTGACTGCCTTTAAGTCTTATGTTTCTATATAATTTGTACACTTGGGTTAATCGTGTTTCCCCATGAGTTGCATTTTGAACACTTTATGAGTTTAATCTTTGGCTCCAGGTATTCCCGTGCCATAAACTCCGTGTTCATTTGTTGTTTTCATTGCTCGTCAATTAGCAGCTCAGTGGGGCCCAATGATGGCAATCAGAGTGCTACCTTGCGATATATGAGATATGAGATATGGGCGCGGTGAATCAACTTATCTTATCATTATCATTATCCCTTTCGTTAGCGCGTGAGTGTTTGGTCTAGATTGCATACATGTTTGCCAAAAAGATATAGGAGAAGTTGATGGCAGATATGGCCTTTGCCTTCGCGGCACGAGGCGTACAATCGTTTGATTTATGCAGAAACTGAACGATCCAGACGACCAGACGACCTGACGACTGAAGTGAAGAACTGGTTGGAACTGGAAAATTAGACTTTGAACTAACCCAGATCTGGTCAATTTATTTGATCGAATCGCAAGTGTGAATTCAAATCAAAATCGCCAACGCTATCACTAAACCGTTGCTAACCACCAACCATGTCGACTTTAAATTAACAATTGTTTATCGTAGCATGCTATGAGTAAGCATTGACAGTTTTATGGGCACGTCTGATTTCTTTCGATTTTCCCCAAATGAGTGCTAATGGACGTCATGCGACTTCGAGTTACATATTAATCACAACAAATTGCCGCTTTCTGGGCAGTGTTCGAGTATCTCCGAAGTCATTACAGAAACGTGATGTGGACGCAAACAGCGACTTGTCGTCAAAGGGAAATAACAGTCGTTGTCCGATTATCTCATATACGAGTACATACTAGACAGTTATAGAGTAACTGAAAGTGTAGTAACAGTAACAGTCAATATAGAGGGCTTCTAAACCAATTCCTTAATGAAAATATGTTGACGGAGAGGTGGAGATCAAGAGACCACCTTTTTGACTGCGTGGTTGTCTGGAGATTAAGATGATATTCGACCCAATAACGTTAAATACGTATAATATGATATACAAGTATATATGTATGGCTGAGCTTCTTAAAGTCCATAAAGTAAACTGTTTAATGTTCTTCTACTGTAATGATCCCTTACTTCCCTCGTAAATGTATTTAGAGATCATTATGAATTGCTTATAGCTATTATTATATTTATTGTTCAGAATACTCTACCAAACATAAACAATATAAATAAGCTTTATGTATGATTTGAATTTCAAATTAGATTCTAGCGCTTCTGATCGAATCGAAAAAAAAATATGCTCTTAAAATAATCCATATTATTTTCTGGAAGATAAGTAAAGACTAGATTTATTACATAATATCTGAAATATCTGAGATTCCTAGCACCCTTTCCCAAAGTATATAATATTGAACCAAAGCATAGCAAGGTACATACTATAATTATTATGTGTAAAATATTCCAAAAAAAATATGCTCTTAAAATTTTTCAATTTCAATTCTGGAAGTTATTTTGTAAAGACTAGAATTATTACCTAAAATCTGAATTTCCTAGCACCCTTTTCTTAAGTATAGAATATAGAACCAAAGCATAGCAAAGTACATATATAGTTATTATGTGTATAATAGGCTTGTTCGATTTTTTCGTTTTCTAAAATGCACATAATTCCCCTTAAAATAGAACCCATTTTCCCAAAATCAATTAAGGGTACAAAAAAGTAATTATTTTTTGAAATAACGAAACGTTTTCCTTAAAATCTGATGGGTGGGTTAAAGTTTATCCTAAAATACGGAATACTCAAAAAACGATGGAATCCCGGACTTCCTTGAGTAGGAACTCGTTTGGAATCACGCCTCAACCATCATGACAGAAGCACGATTAAAAATCGTCAAAATGATCATAAAATTTAATAATTTTTCAACCTTGGGCAGATCTTAAAAAAGGATTATTTAAGAATCACAAAACAAACACAAATGTTAATGCTTAATTATTATCGAGTCGAATGAAAACATGTTCTCGAAAATAGGGAACCAGTTCGGACTCGGGAATACTAATTTGCAGACGAGTCAGAATTGTCATTACGAGTATAACAAACATATCATCTCACATATCATATCATCTCATTATTTGAAAAATGTCACCAATTGGCTAATTGTTGTAGGTATGCCAGGGCTGATGTAAGAATTGGAAATGGGAAAAGCAGTCAATGGAAATGGAGGTAAGAAACATTCGGAATATTTGTTCAAAGTTCAGTTGAAAATTATGTCATGGTCTAGACTAGCCAAAGCTTTCGGATTGGAGGTATTTATGATCCAGATTGTAGTACCAGAAATTCCACTTGGAATGCAATTTCCAAGCACCTACGCGGCTGGTCGAAAGCCAAGTTAGCGATATCGCAGAAAAGGCTAAAGCGAAGAACGAACTAAAACTACAAAAGAACAGACAAAGCAAACGCTTTCTTGTCAGTTTATCAGCGTTCAACATTTTTATGATTGTTTATCAGCCAAGACGCCAAATACATATTTGTACATACAACGTACATATGTACATATGTATTTATGTATATATGTATCTGGCGAGTATAAAGAACACTGATTTACGTGCCTGCCACTGAAAGCTAAACAAACCTGATACCAACGCTGATTAGCTCCAAAACGTTTTTCCCAACGCTAACGGTAAATTTTGGGCAAAACCTCCCCACCCCGAGTCGTTAACTTGTTTGGTTGTCATTAACAGATATTGCTCCAATTCTCTTCCGCTCAGAGCTCTGCAGAGGTGGGAATTGGCTAGGGGTTGTTGGCATATTTATTGCTAATTTGCTTATTAGATCCAAAAATTATTACAAATCAGCTTGTGGACAAAACAGCTATCGTGCTTTATCTTGCCGCGCATTCGAAGCGGAAGATAAGCCCGCCACTGTGACGCCAGCTTATAGGCTCCCTAGGCTCGTAGGTGGGTATACGAGTAGTTGGCTGCGGTGCTAAATATAGCGCCAAAGAGAGGCGATGCGGAAATAATGTACATAATGGAATGTTTGTCCTCATACAAGGTAATTAAATATACATTTTTATTTACACTGAACTCGAAATTCTTTGTTTATATCGAGCAGAAGGTAGTCCGAAGAATCCAAGATGGAATTTCTTCAAATACATTTAAAAACGTAGAATCGCCAAATCAAAGCCATAAAACAAAATATTTATAATCTAGAAATTCTGAAGAAAGTGGAGTTCACTTCTCGGAAGAAATCGCTACGGCCTTTAAAAGGAGAGGCGTGCGTTCTGGAGACCTCCGATTGCAGAACTCTTTGCAAATTATTTGCTTGTCTTTAGAACACGTTGTGTGAAGGAAGAATCTAAGAACAGAAATTTTCCAGAAAACCTCTTCCTTTCAAGTAAAGCCTTAAGTATCCACTGAATGATAATATTACGAGCTCATTTATCGAAAAAAAATTGAAGAAATCTACTAATCACTAGTATTTCATCATGTTTTCTTTGTACAAGCCAGAATCAAACAACATATTTTCAAGCATATTTGCCAAAAATAGTTTGCTTTCAAACAAAGTCACAATTTCAACTTCATCTCGCCAAGTCTTCTCTAGCAAGTAAGCTTCAAAAAACTGGAGAAAGATAAAATATAGCACTTATCTAGCGAAGTCGTCCCCAGAACTCGAGTAATCTCTTGACTTTTTCGCATGTTCCATAAGATTCTTTATATTTTTGACCAACGTATAGGTACATATGTAAGTATATAGGTATATTGAGAGCCTGGTGAATCGAGCCGTCGAGCTTGCTTATCAAATCAACCATTTGTTGCACTTTTCATTTGTTTAAATATGTGAATAATTCATATTTTCTCTTTCATTTCATATTGCTCGCATTAGAAATTAAATAATAATCGTATGCTTAATATATAGATATAGTATACCATATAAGTAGTAGGAACTACCCATTAAGGGGGTAGCTTCATAGAGCTAAAGCTAAAGCAGGTAATATAAATGTGCTCTGCAAAGAGCGCTCAATCAATTCTCACTCATTGCTATCGACACTTAACACTAATTAATCATATTAAGTCACATTTTGTGTTGTAGTCAGAAGCGTACAAATACAAGTATTAATACAAATTGAAATTGAAGTACAAATACCAATACAAGTGCATATAGTACTATATGTAAGCGCGTACAAAAGCACCAACCAAATGTTATCTTTGGCACAAATACTGCTTCAGATAGCCAACAGCCATATGCCAAAAGGCAAGGCCAAGAGCCAAGAGCCCAGAGGCAAAGTAGAAGAAGAAAAGGCGAACTTCAACTTCTTCGGCTTCAGTTCAAATAGAACTTGACCTTTTGCGCCGCGCCAGACACGACGCTGTTGCTGCGCGTGCTCTTACCACTAGTTCTATCACTAGGGCCCACAATGTGCGCCTCATTACCTTCCAAGCGGCGGATGAGACGCTCCTGCTCGCTGTTCGGGGAGTGAATGCCCGGCAAATAGGTCTTGGTGCTGATGCGGTTGAGCTTGGTGGGCTGGTGGTCCTGGAAGATCTGTGAATTGGCGAATACCGCCAGTATTTCGGGGCCCAGCATCGGCACATTTGTCTGCGTCTCGCGTCGATAGTCCTCCTCGTGTATCTTGCCACTGTTGATAAGAAAATAAAGTAAAATATATTAAGTGAAGGGTGCGAATTCCCACAGCAAACAGTCAGCCCACACGAGCTGGAGCCACCTTTTGTTGTCCAATCAGTATTATGATTGGAGCAAATGACTGACTGAACAATGCGCTTGTTTGTGGTAGCAATTAATACCTCATCAGGCCAGAGTTGCCACGTCGCAGTGGCTGATCGCAAATGGGCTGCGGTACAGTCAGCAAATTGTTGTTGTCCGCCGCCGTCGGATGCAAGCGGCCCACAATGATGCCGTTCTTCTTAGACGCCAAATAGTCCTCATCCTCCTCGGGATTGTAATTGGCTGCGCAAAACAAAGGAGAGAAACAGAGAAAGAGAGAGAGAGGGAGAGTGCGCGATGAAATGCCGAACGGTACTTAAGTTGCTGCGACAATCCTACGGTTGTGGTGAGAGGGCTCGCAAATCTCGCACCTGATGACGATGATAATGACACAGCGGCAGGTTGATAATGAGCTTATATTGCTTTTGAAGCAATTCGCGGAACTTTTCAAATTGAATGAGACGTTTGGGAGGCGTGCCAGAGATGCTACGAGACTCAATAGCAACTGAAGTCGTCTTTCATTCTTAGAAATGAATGTAAATATTTAGAGAAATACATATACATATGTATGTATTTACAAAGGCTTATGTATTTGAATCGGCTTGCAGTCTTGTAAACAATTAAAATTTATCTCTCAAAAAAAAAAAGAAGAATATTATTTGTTTTCATTTGGACTTATCGCCCTTTTCGCACATTCTGAAATGCCAATCCGCGCATTCCGTTCAAGATCTTTACACACATCATGCGTCATATTTTTTACCATATTCATGTTTGTGTGTGTACATACGAGTACATACATACATACAAACATACATCTGCACACGTATTCAACGCACGTCTGCCGCATACCTTATAGTGTGTCTGAACATCGGTAATAAAAGCTCGGCCAAGTGCGTCGCGAAAGAGTAAGAAACATCACATCAAAGCTTCAAAACTTACCAATTGATTCATCATAGCAGAAACGCTCTTCAAAGCAATTCCAGTACAAATCTTCCCAACAGCTGGAATAAGTGTTAACATTGAAAATATAAAGACAAAAACAAAATCGTTTACTTACTTTTGACAACAGCGGCACATTTTGTCGGCCTCTCTCTCCGAAAAATGAAATTACGGCAGACGCTCAGAAAAAGTTTAAGTCGGCAAAAAATCAAAATTCTTTGCCGGGGCACGCCTTTAAATTCTGACCGCTTTTTTTGCTTTGATTTATTTGCTAGCCTCTTTTATTCCGTTTGTTTACGCCTGCGACAAGTATCGAAGACATTAGATAGATATTTAATGTATTCGAAATGCGTGTGACTCTCGTTCGACAATTGTTTTGTGACGCGGCCACAGCTTTTATGATTCGAGTGGAGCGTGGATCGTGGAGCGTGCAGTCCGCTTGACTTTTTATCGGCGACTGAAGTGCCAAAGGTGTCTCGTGTGTGGTCGCCATGCTCTTAACTGTGTTTCAACCACAGCGATGGCGAAGCGCCAACACGAGACTGACACCGAGAGAGGGAGAGAGAATGAGAGTAACGGAGTCGCGTCAAGCTTGCTGAATGCGCTGACGCGTTGGGGGCCAATACTCGGCCGAACGACATGCGCGCAGTGCTTCGCAAGCTGAGCCGCAGTCGTAACATTTTTTTTTTAGAGAAGGTCGTTTGTTTGATCGATCGATCGTGCGTGATAAATGGTTGTCAGGTTTTGTTTCTTCGGGCCAAAAAGCTTGCGCTCTCCAGCTTGCCAAGTCGGCGACTCTCTTGCGCATTGCACTATGGGGCCTGTTACTGACACTTGTTATTTATTAGACACTATTTTGATCGGAATATTGGAAGTTACTGATTCCGATATGTTCAACATTCCCAAACAAGTAAACACTATTATATTAATTGCAAATATTGTAAAATCTTTTAAGCGCCTTTTGGAAATAAGCACAAACAGATGTTACCCAACGCCTTTGCTACGACCTTAGTTTTAGATATGACTTTAAATTTAAGGAATCCTTGCCTATCTTATGTAAACCTATTCAGAAATCCTTTCACACTCAGGAGGCAGCTTCCTATGCAGACATGTCCACTGCTATTATAATTTCTTTATAGATAATTTGAAATTCTTTGAAAACTATATTTGAAATACATTTTTTTTAAAATGCAAAACCACCAACCTAAAATTGTCTTTCCTTGAAAGCATACAGTATACAGCTGTTGAGAACTAATTAACAACGAGTAGAATTAAAGGGATTTTTAGACTCTCATATTAACTACAGTTGATCTAACGGTACTTATTTCTTTTTTGGCTATTCCTTCAGCAACGTTCAATTATTAATTTCGATTTTTAAGTTGAGTTGTGTGATTTTGCCGTGCCAACTAATTCGCAACGATTTCAAGAGAATGAAACCAAACTGAAGTTCCAAATTTGTTATTATTAATATTAACAAATCGAAAAAAGAAATGTTGATTTATTAAAAAGAATAGTATTTAAAGCGAACTGGAAAAAGTGTCGTGTTATTAAAAGCTGTCAAAGTATATTTAAATCCTATAAAAAATGTATAATCAGTTCCTGAAAGATCATTTTTGATCCACTGTACACGGCTCTTGTAATATAACACCTGCACAAATATAAACAAACTATCGGGAGAGCCGCTGTGTTACAAAATTTAAACTTTCTCAACTTTCATCATACACGGTCACACATGCGAGCACATTCCTAAATACATATGCATAAGAGCATAAGTATGTATATGTGTATGTTTGTATGTATTTAGTTCGCTGCTTTAATATTGAAGCGCATTTATTTAGCAATTTGTACGATAAGCGCACTTCAAAACAAAATAAAAACCGACAACAAAAACTCACAAAATGGGACACAAATGAATATAACACTATACCTACGTGCATACGTACATACAGACATACATACGTACATTGTGAGCATGTTTGTATGTACGTGATGCGTATGAGTGTTTCATTAATGCGAGGTTAGATCATGAAGTACCTGGCTAAGAGGTTTTACGAAACTGGCATTGTCTTACTTTTAAGATAATCTTGTTTTGCAGTTGTGCTTTATGTCGTTAAGTCCCATTAGTAACACTTGATCCTGGATTTACTATAATCTCATTTGAATTCGACATCGCACTGCTCCGGTCTCTTCAATCCCATGTCTTTCTTTCTTTCTTCCTAATGGCTATACTATTATGCTAAATTAACTTCAGTTTTATGGTTTCGGTCTGCAATTGTTGGGGACTTTGGAAATTGGCATATGTAAGAAGAAGAAAAATGTGTTTTCTTTTCCAATTTTTGTAATTTCTTCAATTTCAAAATATTTATCCGAATTTCTCAGTTTCAAATTTCAGGTAAGTTTACAACAACCGTTTTAACTAAACTATTTATGTTCAACTAATAGAACTGGGAATGAATTAAGATCTAAACCAGATCAAATATAACCATCCCTGTGAGTTGTACACCTAATTCTGTTTTTACATTTTTATACCCTGTACCCGTAGGGTAAAAAGGGTATATTAGGTTTGTGCAATGTATGTAACATGCAGAAGGAAGCATCTCCGACCCCATAAAGTATATATATTCTGAATCAGCATGACGAGAGAAATCGATCTAGACATGTCCGTCCGTCTGTCCGTCTGGATGAACGCAAGGATCTCAGAAACTATAAGAGCTAGAATAACCAAAGTTGGCATCCAGATTCTCCTAGGACCGAGAAAGGACGAGTTTATTTTATTTTTTGGAATTTTCCCCCCCTTTCCCCGCTACACTGTCGGGCTTGCTCGACTGTAGCGTTCTCTCTTGTTTTAAACAGTTCTTTTACACAACTTTTCTGGAACCAATCTACCGTGTAGAAACATCCAAACCTTAAAAAAACAACAGAATCTTTTTATCCAATATTTATTTACCTATCCTATCCTACCAATCTTTGATTATACGAATCCTTTTTTTTATACATATTTGGTTAAACATTTCCCTGCCTAATATGAAAAGAATATAGTGTGCCTTCATATACTATATGTAAGTGTATTCTCCAAATAACACATACAAGAAATTTATTGCCAACTGCTACTTAAATAACAGAATAATATGAATCGATAAACATGTCATGTCTGACTAGAAACAAAGATGCTGAAAACAATGCGGAGAATTCCCTTTTAAGGTCGGATTTCTATAAAACAGATGAATTACGTAAACTGTGCATATTAAAGCGCTTTGAAACACCTTGAGGCATTTCTTTGTTCAGATAGAAATGAGAATATCTCTTATCCGCATCTCGTATAACCAGAGATAAAGTTAAAATTTCCTCAATTTTCATTGGTAAAAAAAAAAAATGATTAAGAACATAATAACAATGAAGATTGTGATGAAAAGATATATATGTATATATTCGAATAACGCTATGAATATTATTCCAATTCAATTAATTAAAATTGACCATCGACAATTTTTCTTTGTCCCACCATTCGATCAAATGTTTTTTTGGGATAATTCCACCATGAGACCATGTATCAGGGCTAAATAACTCACACTTTCAGTGGCTTTAGTTGAAATTATTATAATTCAAATTAAAGAAGCTGCTATTTAGCAAAATTTGAGCAATCGGTAAAGGCATATACAAACAGCTAAAAAATCTCAACATTTCAAATAAAAATATACGATCTTTATAAGTATCTTTTATATCAAGGGTAAATTCGATAAATATTCATCAAAAGCCCCAAGAACGTAAGAAGATGACAGCACTACAAAAGCTATTTCCTACCTTCTTCGGATGTACGAGTATATGGTAATTTCTGAGCTGAGTCAAAAATTTTAAATTCATTCTCTCTGTGCAGCAGAGGTTCGTTTTTGTGCTTTGATAGTTCACTTATCACTTCTTTATAGCTTTGAGGCAGATAACGCAAGAATCGCAATTGGAAAAGCAAAACATACTTTTAGGCTATCATGGGTATTGCCAATTCAGACAATTTCAGACAATTCAGAAACCACCTAAAACACGGCCCATTTACCCAGCAATGGCTTTTGGGTGAATTGAGGTTAAAGTTCTAATAACTATTTGCTTAAAATGTGAGCACAGCGGTTAAAAACCAAATCATCAACGGCGAGTAAACATGACATTTGGAAAAGCTGTTTTTTTCCATCCCCGATTTTGCGTGTGTGTGTGTTGTTGTTGTTGTTGCCTAAAGTTTTTATGGGGCTTATCTGAATGTTATGTGACGGCTAAATTGATTTTTAATGAGCTGCAATTATAAATAAGTGCGAAAAAAAAGTATTCATATGTGCTCCCAATTGGGAAGGCTGTTATATAGACAGCTAATTACATACATACATACATACATACATACATACATACATACATACATACATACATACATACACATATACTTGTATAATATATAGGAAATAACGGAATTCATACAAATCGCTCAATTCTTGCACTTTATTCAGAACTGATGCCACTAAACGATTGTTTGGCAAAACTACAATCAATCAAATAATTGAAAGAGCTGCAGACGTTTATAAAATCGTCAGCAGGCAAAAGGTGGGTTTATCTCCAAGTGGCTTAGACGTAATCTTTCAGAACAGATAAGTATGTTTGTAGGGAGGTATGCACGTATTCGCATGTATAGTATATGATTGTCATTTAGGTGTGAAATGTTAGCTTTTGAAAACAAATATTGACATCTAGAAGAGGCCTAAAAAATGCGGGCCACAGCCATGGAATATTATGTTCCCCTACAGCCGAAAAATTTGATACTCAGCTGACTAACCCCTATCCATAGAATTAACAGTTGAGTTCAAAGTTCAACCAGAAGAACTTTATCAATTGCCTTCAATTTATCAACAGCACGAAAGAGTATTCACAAATTGAATACATTTTACAAGTCGGCCCATTCCAAATCTCGATCTCATCAGCAATGAATGTATGGGAGAGCTTTCCATGTAAATAAACGTTAGCTTCACAATGGAAAAAAGTAACAATTGAAAAGCATTCGAAACTCATTAAAGTTTGTTTGGCTCACGACCAGATGACGGCGCGTCGGCGAAAAGTGCGCAATAATTGAATGTCAATCAGTTTTATGTTCGTGTTTGTTGCTATTCGTGAATTAATCTTAGTTGACGTTGTTGCTGTTGTTGTTGTTGGTATTTTCGCTCTGTGTAGATGCAATTTGTTCGCGTTTACATGTTTCTTGCGTGAAACGCATTCGAACCGGCTTTCAACGTTATACAACGAGTTGTTTACCCTCAGCGAGGGTAGGG